CAAGAGTCCGGCCGTAAATTCGCCCGCGACGTCCTTGGCTTCTAGTGCTGAAACAGTTCAAACAGCTGAAAACATATTGGTTTACTAAATGGGTTCTATTTGTGAAATACACATTTGTGTTTAACCTTTATCTTTTAAAATTTCAGCGTACTAAATTTCAAGAGAGTGGCGTATGTCTGTGGGGGCGCTAGAAATTCACTACTCACTAGGGGGTCAAAGGGGGCGCCAGCCTGAAAAAGTTTGGGAACCACTGATTTAGATGGTTGATGTTGGCTCCAGGGCTGATTTGAGCGTTAATTTGCTGGTCTACGGCTGCGCACCCGTAGGAAGCACTTCCAGTCAAAACATACCCCTTCTCTGCATTGCATCATCTAATCTGTGCATGAAAGCGTTCAGACTCGGAGCGTCAACGATGTCAGTAATAATATGCCTGGTTCCACATTTGTGACACGAAACGAAAGGTGTTGACGCATAGATGTGTTACAGCGCAGTTTTTTAACTACTCAATTAAGCGGGAGCGCAGCCGTGCACCACCAATTTTGTGCACCAATAAGCCTTGAATCGAACGCCTTGGATCTCTCCGGACCTACACCAATCAGCCGTGCACCACTCGGCTTTGTCTTCCTCCGGCCTTGACCACCACCTGCCGTGCACCACCAGGCCGCGGATCGAATATGACTTCCAGGCATCGTTAAATTACGTAATTTTACGTTCACCGCATCTGAGGTTAGGTTTCAGATAGCATAGTTCTGTTCCAAAATTTATCGTCCTTCGACAAGTAGCCGTTCGACCGAGGGCTGGTTCGACCCACGGCCTAGATACAGGCGGCTTGAAGTGTTGAAGGCTACGTTCCGGAAGGCAGGAATCATGATGGTCCATTACATCCAGGGCAGTGGTGGTCTTCGGCAGGCGACCCAATTAAGCGTGACTCTTGCTTGTGGTTTTTGTTTCACATTCAAGCAAGCCTCATAAAAAATTTTGTTTTGACTTAGACCAGTCAAGTGGGTTCTTCTGAAAACTTGTATAAATCATGAGTATATCCTGAAATTATACCTGTTGCATGTCTCTGAACACTCTCGAATAAATTTTTGTCCTTTCAAAGTTTCGATGACCACACGGCATAACCTAAAAGTGCCTGTACTCGGGGACAGTACTGGGCCGCCAGTTGATCTGCCGCTGGAACAGTCCACACGCGGGCGCGCGAGAACGATAAAAAACAGCGTAATCGATTTTGCGTCAAGGAGTTCAAGATGCTCGTTAGAGTGTCTTATCAGTCAAAGCGTTTATCGTTTCTTTAACTTGCGTTTCAATATGATTAAAAATTATTTACTTGTTGTCGGCATAAATTACCTCTTGGACAATTTTTCAGCCGGTTTTCAAGGTTTAACGAACATAAATATATCTCAAATTAATGACCACAAGCTATCGGACACCTTTGCGGCCGGCCTCCACGGCTCATGCAGTGAGGCAAAATATATCAAAACTAATGTACGCAGCTCGAAACTTTACACATGTATTCGTTAGAACCTAACGGTGCTGTTCTGAGGCCATGGACATTTGTTTGATTTTCCTTCCTTAGCGATTTATTCGGCAAACGGACCAGAATTCGCAATGAGCTATTATATATTCTATTCTACAATACAGATTTGAACGAAACTTTTAATACACATCCCTAAACACCAAACAGTTATATTAAGGTTGTGACCATTTTGTCGATTTCTCCTTCGTTCGCGAGTTATACGGAGAAGCGACCGACATTTCTGTGGCCGATTGTCAAGTTTGCAGTGAGCCTAAAATATCTCCAAAATTAATCAAATGCGAATTTTGGTCCGTATTGCTGTATCAGTCGCAAACGAAGGCAAATCGAAATAATCGTCGAGACCCATACATCACACAGGTTCTAATGAATACATGTGTAAAGTTCTGGTGGTATTAGGCTGAGCCTGCGTCCATTAGTTTGAGAGGTATTTTAGGTTCACTGAATCTTGGAGACCGGCTGAGTCAGACCGGCCGCAAGACAGGCCGTAAAAGTGTCCGCATATGTTAGCAAAAACAGCCTTGAAAGTTGCAGTGAAGTTCGTTTTTATACTCTATGACTAAGAAATGTTATTTTTTTGTCAACTATTTGCCCAAATATTCAAACATCAGCTTTTAAAATATATAGTCACCAAATTAGGGCATTGCTTCACGTGCAAAACCTTGCAGACTGGCCGAGAAACTGTCCGGAGAAATGTCCAGTTAGTTTTTAATTTTTAAATAATGCTTTGATGAAATTGTGATTAATATTATGCTAATTCGAATTAATTTTATCCTTATTTTATTACACTAATATTGTATTTTTGCGTAACTATCCCGCAAGCTATACCAAATTTTCAGGATTTAAAGCTTAATGATAAAAAATCACTAAATTTCTGGGGTTCAAGAAATAATCCAACATCTCATAATGTAAAAAAGTGTTGTGATTTAAATTGTTGAATTCTACTAAAAAACTCCAGGGACGATTATATTAAAATTATAAACTTGAAATCAGCATTTCATATTTTTAAAAATGCTCGAGTAAAAACCTTTGAAACTCAAAATTTATGCCATACAAGTTTCAGTTCGAGTTTAGGTCGTGGATTGTGTGCGTCGGCGTTCATTTGTTTCGACTACGGTCCTATTGATACCGCGTGTAAAGCATACGCCATTGCCGTCGTCCATGATGGCTGCAGCTGCAGGTGCAAATAATAATAGTTTTTCGCAGAATCCCGCATTTGCTGACGCTGTTCAACGTGCTAAACAGGTAATTTGATGATGTATTATGTTTTTTTGCTAACCAAAACGTTATTTATGTTGTTAATTTCATTTTAGCTGGTCTCAAAGATGAGTTTATAATGCGGCTTCTTAACTGTTAACTTTTCGGCTCTGAATAATTGTCACTCGTTTTTTTCGTACGTGAATACGTCTGCAGCTGTAATTTTTAGTGTTCAAGGACATTTCCTGTGTATTTAAGTTGGGTTACAGTGAAAATGTATGTGTATTATTCGCGAAAAACAGATTTTTTAGAGATGAAAAGTAAACAAGATGGCTACGGCCGCTATGCTAAGGCGGGCCGAGCGCGTGGCGACGGGACCGGAAGTACTGACTACTGAGGCTAGCTAATTCTCAACTGATATTCATCGAAGTCTGGTGTTTAAAAATAACTGATTCTGGCTTAGCCTATTCATCATTATTGCAAAACTAAGTAATTGGTTTTTAGTAGGTAGCTATATGTATTTACAATGGAATTTAGTGGATGGTTATGATTAGAAATTTTCTTATTTGATCAGGCCTAGGTAGCCTAGCTAATTAGGCTATTTTAAATTTAAAGTGAATAGGTAAATTATTCCAAAGATCTTTGAAGGTTGACTCTGATACTGATAGTGATTGATAGGTGCTAAGATTGGTATAGGTACCTTACTTACGGCTTACCGTACCTAATCTTTTGCAAGCAGCAAACATATTCAATGCTAGGTAGCCTAATTCATTATTTAATAAATATGAAATTTTTAACTATTAATTAATGTATTTGTAATGATTTGGAACTACTGTGGTAATACTCCAGATTAAGTGCATCATAAAAAGGGTGTTTTTTTAATTATATTTTTTTTGGGGTGTAGATTAGTAGATTAAGAATCTGAAATCTGTTTTAGGCAGTCAGCCAGGATGGAATTCTAATAATGACGGTTCATATATTATTCCTGATACACCTACACCAGTTTTTCGATACATTATTTGAGGCAAAAAAATGAACTTCTTATAGGCTTAAAACACGTATGGGTATACTAAGTTTCTATAAGGTAATTCACTTGGAAATGTTGCGTGCCAGCAAGGCTGCAGGCACATCTTTCACTCGACAATTAAACTTATACAAAGTATTAGTTCTTTAAAGATTTGTCTCTTAATGACTGCAAAGAAGTAAACTTAATAAAGTAATTACAGCTACCATGACTACGCTGTCAAGCAGACTTTTCGATGATGCACACACTAAACATGCAATTCATGGGAGCGAGAATACATAGAACAACAAAAGCAGTTGCCCGCAGAGTGGAAATCTAAGATTAGAGGTTCACTTAAAAAAAAGCGTTCCGCCTTGAAAAAAAACGTTCCAGGCAAGTGGCAACTAGAAACAGGTTTGCAGGTCGTCAGAAATCGGCCTCGGCACGAACGTTACGTCAGGCAACACAGAGAACTTCCCAATATTGTTAATTGTGCGCGTCACTCACGGATAAGCAAGAGGACTCTACTGAAAGACACGTTGTGCTCAGTAGAACACGTTGTGCTCAGTAGAAGTTACAAGGTCGCTACTGACACCAGTAGAAACTCATCACTCACTGACCACAGTCACCCATGCGCAAGGAAGATCTTGGATAGGTTGCTTAAGCTTTGCGCCCCACATGAACGTTTCCGAGGTCGCCGGTAGAGACGCGTCACTCCGGTGAGCAAAGGATATCTTGAGGAGGCCTCACAANTTTACGTTTCTGCGTGAATTTTGATGCTGTTAGCATTGAAATACTCTGTCTCTTATACACATCTAGATGTGTATAAGAGACAGTGATGATGGAGTGAAAGTGGAAGTGTGCTGGACGTTCCAGATTTTTGGGTCCTGCTTTCCAAATTGCTATGTTTACCAGTTAATATATTACCCCTCTGGATTTCCACACTGGTTGCCCGGTATGCAACTGCAAAAACAAATGATGATTGCGGCAGCGGCGGCATGAACCATAACGTTAATATAGTCAATGCAAGAGAATGATTAATTATGATATTTCAGATAGAGATTTGAAATATTTTTGGAAGCCTAAAACTATAACAAATTATTTTGTTACTGTGACATGGTTGATTTCAAAATAAATATTTTAATGCGAATTCAGGAAAAACGTTTAAAATAAATTGAATAATGTTCATTTATATCTATAGGTGGGAGTAATTCGAGTAAACAACTACAAATCGATTTATTATCCTTTAAATAAGAATCTTTGCATTGAAACTTCTGGAAGATGTGTCCACCGCAATATTTATACAGTGGTATCAAGAGTCAAAGCCATCAACCAATCGTTGGATGGCCGCAAATATGTCGCATCGTTCTACCTATTACAGTCAATAGAACCTTAATAAACTCTGTTCATCAAAAGGACAAAAAGCTTATGTATCAAACATATGTGGTAGTACAATAAATTTTGAGATCTCCAGTCATGAGACTTGCATTCATACCCATAGGTGATCTTGAATTTCTGCACTGCGTTCAATTAAGCAATTTGTAAAATCATAAATTTCAAATAGGTACCAACTTTTTCAATTTAATTCTGAATGAGTCGCGTCTGTTGAATTCTAATAGGGATCATTAATTTTTGCATCGTATTTCTGAAAATCAAGTAGTGCATTTCTTTTAAATTAAAAACATTCTTTTACATCAAAAACAACGATTTTTTTCTTACAGCTTCTTTGATAATTGATGATCTCACTCATATAACTTAATATTTTAAATTTGATGATTTTGTCATTTCGATGACTAAACTTTCTTTGGTTCATTAAAATAAAATAATTACTGCTTATAAACAACCAACGTTTTCTAAAAGACACAAAACGTTTGAAAACTCGCCATGGGAGACAAAATCATTCAGGATTTGAAGTGAAGTGAAGTTATTAAGACAAATTTGACATCATAGGGTGAAAACATGAATTAATTCATATTTAGAAGCGTATCAATTGGTGTTTAAATTTTGAAACAATTTTCCATCATTTAAATGTCACTGTGAAATGTGGATCAAATCTATTTATTATGAAATTGAACTTTACAAGACCAAAACAAGGTGTCTGACACCGTCTTGTCTAATGTCAACAGTCAATACAATGTTGCCATACGCCGTGAAAGATTAGCAGTTTATCCCATCATTCCGTGGGGATTCGAGAACTTTGTTGGTATTGGTGAAATCGTGAGAATTTTCTGTGAAAGTTTACGTAATTTTTATTTTTTATTTTGGAACATATTCATTACAAAATTTGTCGATACGGATACGCGACTAGTGATGTATTGGAGGGAAGAGTCACCGACTTTTTATCGGTTTTCGAATCACACGCAAGCGAGTTAGAGGAAGTGCAGCTGTCCGAGTGTCCGCAGTTTCTGACGAGCTCAGTGTAAGAGTATGAGTAATTGAGTATCAATTGTCACTTTGTCAAGTTCGGTGTAAGGTGGTAAATTTTTCGATACATTTTCTTTTGTTAACATGATAATATATTACCTATACAGAATTCCATACTGCAGTCAGCATCGGAAATTTTTAATGGAACCTGTTCCTAACTGACCTAACCTGCAAGGTTTTTGTTGATTGGCTAGGGTAAACGCGGTATATTCCAACGTTTGTTGATCGTTGAAATAGTGACGTCTACATTTGCGCGTCAAACTACTGCCAAAACACTAGATCTGGGCCATCTAGCGGGAAAATGTTGAGATCCAAAGAGAGACGGTGCATGCCGCCCAATGAGATAATCGAAAAATGTGTCAAAGTTGACAGTTGACCTTGCTCTACCAAATAGTGATAAACGGTGTAGAAAGAATATTATGGTTTGAGACTTTTAAATACGTCTGTGAATATATTAGGAATCCTTTAAGTATACTTGTATTCGCTGATTTCAAGTGGTAAATAAATTAATAGATGATTAAGTTGAGAAACGCATTTAGACACATAAAAACTAATTCTGACACAACTTGAATTGGACACACACAGCTCATTTCAAGCTATGTGCAAAAATTAAAATTTTCTTAATTAAAAGCTTAATAACTGTTAATTAAAAGCCTAATTAAGTAGTGCTCAATATTCAATAGTGTTCTAATTCAAAGCCGTGTCATATTCCAATACAGCTCACACAGCGATCAGAATTCGAACACGTGGATGTCGGAATTACGTATTAGTACAATTTGAAGCACGAACGGAATATGTCTCACAACGTGCCGAATATAGTCACACAGTGTCGGAATATAGGGATTTGGTAGGTTTGCATTCTAAAGGCTTTTCAATAAATAGGGCAACATTTTGTGATGTTTCATCGTTGCTGGCGCGTAGTACAGTGTTTTGAGAGTCACGTAAAGCAAACGGAACTCGAGTAACGCATATGGTTATTTTTTTATAGTTTTTCATTTCTCGATGCGTCCTTAATGTGTCGGAATATACCGCGTTTACCCTAGGTTTTTCCGGCTGCCGGATGGACTCCAAACATAGAAAAAAACCTATTGGCTAGGTTTTTCTGGCCACTGTACGGACTCCAAACGTAGAAAAAACCTAGCCAATCAACAAACACCTTGCTGGTTAGGTCCAGTTAGAAACAGGTTCCATTAAAAATTTCTGATGCTGACTGCCAAAAACAGATTTCAGATTCTTAATCTACAACCCCAAAAAAAAAAAAACAAATAATTGAAAAAAAACTTTTTTTTGGATGCACTTAATCTAAAGTAATACCACTACTGTTGTTCATGAATCTACCGGTGATTAAAAACCCCATTTTCAACCAGAGTGGAAAATTGGACAGAAGCCACCAGTGAATTGGATAAAAGCACCCATGTATCTGGATAATTTCTCGTTCACAGATGCCTATTGCCTTTCCTTGAAATTTTCAGTGTAAAATAAAAGAAATTGTGTAATTTTTAAACTCCTGCTGTTTTCAAGTGCAATTTTAAATTCTATAAGTAGACCAGCAGCATAGTATCATGGATACTAGCATCCTCGTACATAAGATATTGGTTTAAATCTCTCGTAAATGAGAAAATTAAAAATGAACTGATTGTAAAAAATCACTGGTTTGCCACTGTGCTCCTGCATATTGTAATAATTTTCTCAGGATAAACCTAGTGAGGAAAACATCTACTCTCTGAGTCTGAGCCATGATTTTATGGATCTGGAAGCCATTATTCCATTTATATGAGCTGTGAATACCATATCCTGGCCATGAAAAGATATTCATGAGCCACAAACTCATTTGCCAAGTCCTATGTACATATTACCCTAAATCTCCAATCATTTACTTGTGATACATTATATTTTAGCAGGAATATGTACTGAATTAGAAAGATGAAAATTATGTGAAATGGCTTTGTTTCTGAACCGCAATTTATTCAATCAAACAAAAGTACATTACATCAGAGCTGCAAGATATTACATACCTACTAAAATTATGTGATATTAGAGCCACAATATTTAAAAAGGTAAGACTTTTCAAAACTAGGGATGAACCAGGACAACTGGGACAAGACAAGAAATTGGCAAAAAAAAAAAAAAAAAAATATGGAGAAGTTGAAGTTTGTCCCAGAATACAACATGTGAACCAGGACATGACTGTGTCCTGGTCCTTGAAATTTGTGTCCCAGTAATCATGAAATGATACAAGACTGATATATATATAAAATAAGGAATGATGTAATGAGACTAGCAAGACATGTCCTAAATATTCAAGGCAAAATGAAATATTTCTTAGGAATTTAAAAGCAAAGAAAATACCACAAAAATTCACCATATCTTTATAAGAGAAAACGTTTCGGAGTCCAGCTCCATCGTCAGTTCAAACCACAAAATTCTGTTCAGAAAAAGTTCAGTCCTAGAAACACAAATAAATCAATTAGTAAAGTAAATGCAATAAAAATAAATAGATAAGACATGAAAATAATGCTAGTAAACGTAAACGGCCTATCTATTTACTATTTCAAGAGGAAAGGAGCTAAAAGCGGCATTCAGACTAGGCTAAAAATATTTCTTGCCATACAAAAAAAAATGTTCAAAATACATAGTAGAGGAATGCCAAGTTAGCATTTGATTGTTAATGAGCAGTTGCGTTTCATGGGCTGATTTAGCAAAATTTAACTGCTAAATGACTTTGGCCAAGAATAAGTAGGTGGTTATGACAATGTCTGGCAAAATATTGTGTGAATGATGTTGCTGTTAAGCTTTTAACAGCACACAATGAGAAATGGAATAATTCAGTATGCCTAATGGCATCATTGTAAGTCATTGACATAGTGTCAATTGGTCAGCTGTGTGGAAAGGCTTTCTTGGGCCCTGCATGATGCCAGAAAACAGAAGTTGGAAGAGAACTAGAAATAATTTGAGGCAATATGAGGCCCAATATGAATATGAAATAATTTGAGGCAATATGAGGCACCATCCTTGACAGAAACTAAGCTCCAGTATTGTCTTGTCTTGCATCCTTGCAACCTTGAATGCCGATTTCGAGGCGCCCGGGACTTTGTTGGGCTCTACTAAACAATCACACTTATTGTCACTGGAAAACTATCTCCTCCTACAGTTTTGAAGCTACAGCAATGAGACATATACCATTCGATTTGCAACAAAAAGATCTACAAATTTGTGCAGGAGTCTTTCTAATTGCATCATAGTTTGGATTTTATTTTGCAAAAAGGGGGGTGGGAGGTAAAATTGAAGAATTTAAAAAAAAATTGACAAAAAATGCTCCCACACCCTCAAAAATGGGAATTTCAAAAAACGCCTTTGCAAATTTGTAGATATGGTCTTTACGCATCGAATGATACCTATGTGTCTTGATGTTGTAGCTTGAAAATCCTAGGAGGAGATGATTTCTACAGTATAGTCAAATGGGGTAAGACAGGATCGCAGCCTTCATGGGGTAAGAAAGGACCAGCCCACGGCGTGCATTCTAATTGCACTGAATTCAATATGACAAAAGAATATGTTAGAGCAATCATTGCCTGTCATTTCAGTGTTTGTGGCAACCCTCTTCTGCAAATAATGAATTTCTGGCTGATTTTTAAAGAAAACCTATGTAAAGAAGGGTCACAAAATAGTTAACCCTGTTTGGGAAATAAGCTCTATCTAATGACAAAAAATTTTTTGGCCAGGTTTGTGGATGTAGGCAGGTAACCTCAAGTAATAGGCAACTTTTTAGACATACTAGGCATTCTTACCTGCTACCATCACTGCTTGACATGTATTCTAAAATGGGGTAAAAAAGGACCAGACATGGGGTAAGACAGGACCACTAAATGCTCATGTTTTACCACACAAGTGGTCCTATCTTACCCCACAAATGGTCCTGTCTTACCCCACAAATGGTCCTATAAGATGGGACCAGCTCACTTTTTTTAATCTGTACAGAAAACTGTGTTAGATGCAAAACATCTGAGTTGTAGCTTAGAAGCCCATTGCATAACTACACCTTGTGATAGGTTTAGGGTTTTTTAGTTATTCATGGTATAGATGCTACAGGCTTGTTAGTGATTTCGGTCCTCTCTTACCCCATCTGACTATATACCCCCTTTTGTGCCTTTTTCTAAGAATTTCATGTTTTCTTTCATTTTTTTCTGGATTAACCTTAATCAGATATGGATTAACATAAATTCTGCAGCTCAATAGCATTTCGTTTTGACAAACAAAAGCCATTTTTAAATAGGGAAAAGTGTAAAAAAAATTTCCACTAGTATAATTATCAAGCCTGATTGAATTTTGTACCTAAACTTTGAATTATCATACTATGTTCTTTCTTTATTTTCTCAGATTGCTGCCAAAATCCAGCCTGGTGGTCAAAAGCGACCATTGGAAGAAGGGGAAGGTATGGATCGTATGGGAGGTAAGCAGACACCTGCTCTCCGTTATTATGTCAACTCATTATAAGTTGTGGATTGTCTTCATAATCTAATTAAAAAAAATTAGTTAGCAACTGTAATGATATGTTGGTAATTGTAGTTCCTATATTTTTTTGAATGAATAATTTAATTTAGGACATTTATTGATAAACATGTCAACAAATTGTAAACAGTATACCGTACTATTAGATTTTCTCTGTTATGGATGACACCACAGGCCCAGATGCGAAGCGAATAGCCAACAACGATGGGTCCCCAGTGTTCATGGGCCTGGCCGGCAATGGCCCACCAATGGGTGGCATGGGCCGACCAAACATGGGTCCTCCAGGAGTAGGGGGTGGATCTGAGCAGGAGGAGATATCTGTTCCTGACAAGATGGTTGGGCTCAGTAAGTCTTGTATAGAACTTTACTCCAATTACTACTCAAATGTGCTGGATTGCTTTTGTTCTCATATCCTTTAAGTTTATTTCTATTATCCTTGGACATCTGATTTCTCAATTCGATGTGCATTATTTTGATTGTGCCATCTCAAGTATTTCCCATCATTTTTTCAAAGTACAATGCAACTTAAGTGTGTTTGAAGTATTTGTTTCTGACCAGGTGTAGTCTGGTCTATCTATCTAGAAATATTAGAAATTTGGGTTTTAATGAAAAATTGTTTTTGACAAAATTATTTCTCATCACTGTGAAGTTTAGTTTTGTTTTAGTAGTTTAATCCATCGTGTTTTCCATCTGAAGGAAAAACTGAAACTTCTATCATATCATTTAATAATTAAACTTGATGAAATTTTGTTGTGCAGTCATCGGTCGCGGTGGAGAACAAATTACACGCTTACAACGTGAAAGTGGTGCCAAGATTCAGATGGCACAGGATAGTCAAGGCCGACCAGAGCGACTTTGTACCTTATCTGGCACTCGGTGGGTAGCGTGTTCTTTAAGACCTTGAGTTCTTCTGGAGTTGAGTATCAATTTGGAGTATTACCAAAAGTACTCTGAAAAAAATGCAGTATAAATGTTTTTGGACATAGGAAATGAATAGCAATTACAATCGTCGTCTTTCGATCATTTCGACGACGTCATACGAGTGTCTCCTTTCTTATTAACGATTTAAGTGGGAAAGTTGGCAGCTCAGTGGGCTTCTACTGCAACCACCACGAACCTGCTTGATTCAGTCTCTTGATTATGTTAGGATTACACTGTGACTATCACTGAATTTTGTGTACTTATGAGTTATATGTATTATGAAGGTTATCGCCTAGAACTTGATGGTTTGTTTTGAATTCATGAAGTTGATAAGTATTTTGTTTACAGGGATGCCATCGCTCGCGCCCGCGATCTCATATTTGAGATTGTCAACAAAGGCGACGGCCCTGAACGACGGCGAAGAGACATGGGACCGCCTACTGGTCCTCCTGGTCTCGAGGGCAACGGTGGGGCCATGGTTGAAATAAGCATACCTGGACCAAAGGTTGGTCTCATCATAGGCAAGAATGGCGAGACCATCAAGGGTCTGCAGGAGAAGAGTGGTGCTAAGATGGTCATCATACAGGACGGGCCTCAGCAAGAGGATGAGAAGCCTTTGCGTATCACTGGTGAACAGCACAAGGTAATAATGATTGACTGCATTTGCTGATTTTATTTGTTTTATGTTCGTTTTAGGTTTCATCATTGGTTAACTAACCTCAATTGTTACTCGAATTTCATTGAATTGTAATTTATATGATTTGATTTGGAATGTGAATTAAATTTTTAGACTTAATGCATCTTGTTGAAGCTTTATATACTAAAATTAATGTTACAAATGTTAGTAGAAGATTTCATTGATTGGCCATGCGCTGTTTTGTTAAGTGTTCTGCATCTATCACTGCTTGATAGTGGTGTTGTGTTTTTGTCGTATAATCTACAGCACCTAGCTGTCTCTTATTTGTTCATTGTACAGGCAAGATTGATAAAGAGCAAGTTAAACTTCCGATTATCTTGATTCCAATTTTTTTCTACCAATGCTCACTGGGTTATTTTTCTCGTCAGGTGGAGATGGCAAAGCAGCTCGTCTATGACCTCATTGCTGAGAAGGAGACACAGGCCGCTCAGTTCGGAGGTCGGAGAGGAGGTCGTGGAGGTTTCAGGGGAGACCGCAATGACCGGGGAGGTGGCAGGGACAGAGACCGCGACGACTTTGGGGAAGATCGAGTGAGTGTTAAGCTAACATTGATGAGCTAGGGCACGAGTAGACGAACAAAACATTGTTTTTTTATGGCTCTTTTAATTCTGTAAACTCTGAAACTTGGGTATTGTCTTTGCCACTGTAAACAAGATATGTCTGGATTGCACGAGACTAAGATGAAAGAAACCTGAAATGGGACTGTTTGCCTTCCTCAACCAAAAGGTGTTGCTATATTATGGTTGAAGTTTGTTTGAATGTTGATTATGGCGTTTATGTTCTTGTTTGAGAGAAAGTGTCTTTATGAATGCTTTATAAATGAAGTGTTGGGTCTGCATTTAATTTGGCTTGAATGATTCTGCCTTGATGGGAATGAATGGCGATTAGATGTACGATGTCTGCTTATTTCCTTGAATGTATTTGTGATAGATATTGATGCAAGTGCTTTTGACTTGAGACTGTGCATCAGAATTCCTCTTTACTATTGTTTGTTTATTGTTAAGAACAATTTTCAAACACAGTCGGTACGGGAGTTCTTTTAGGTTGCTTTTTTGGTGATATGGTCGTAAGTAACTTGCTTGAACTTGAAGCAACTGATGTGAGTGATACGATCCCATGCTGTTTCCTTTTTTTCTGACCCATATGATGCATTCGGTTCTGTTTCATTAGTTTTTATGTGGGAGTAACCGTCGGGATGCTCACTTTTGCATCTGGCAACTTGCCCTCATACCGTCTGACTTTCCTAGGACTCCCCACAGGATGGGCGATTTGGTGGTGGCCGTGGAGGCCGTGGAGGCTTTAACTGGGGTCGTGGTGGCCCAATGGGCGGCCGTGGGGGCTTTGGGCCCGGCGGTCCTGGTGGCCCACCAGGTATGGGCCCAGGCGGACCTGGCGGCCCTATGGGCCGAGGAGGACCAATGGGACCTGGTGGACCAGGAGGACCCGGTGGCCAGGTTAGAATAAATCGTGTGATCTCAGCTTTGCGGTTGTAGTGCACATCTGACAATTTCTTGACGTCTCCGCGTTACTATGGAGTTGAAGGGCACCTTCACTTTCGACTACCGTTGCGCTCTCTTGTATCTCGCGAAGTCTTTAATTTCCTAGCCCTTTCATTAGATGCAATTTTTGTGTGACAGTAATGGAAAGACTGTTTGGTTGGGTCTAAAAAGCTTGCATTGGTCACTTGCATATTGCCATGGACTCGAGATCGTTTTTTTTACTTGGTTTTTAAAAAGCCATAGTTGGATTATATTTTCGCGCTCATGAGGTGATTGTCACGTTCTTGTGGTCGTTAGGCATTATATTCATGCAAAAATTTAAAAATGATACTTGGTGCGTTTAGTCAGTAAATATGATGGATGCATTAATGGTATGAATTTGGTTTGAAACTCGGGTTAATATCTACGTGACTGATATCTATGTGATGTTCAGTTAAGATGCCTGGAATGAAATGAGATTCTTGACAAGATTTTGCATGTACCTGAGTTGGACAAAATAAGGGAAAGACTGGAGAAATCCACAAAATTTCTTTTTTTATGGGGGTAGGTAAATTTTTGCGACAATTACAGCCTCAATTATACAAGGTGAATTGTTTGTGAATTGTTGTTGTGTTGTGAATTATTTCCAATGGAATTTTAACCCATTCTTCAGTTTAAAATCCATCCAGCACTTTTAAAGACGATAGCGGCAGGAATCGACTTCTGACTAGCATCTCTAAAATCGACCAAAAATGCTCGGTAATATTCAGGTCTGGTGAATGTGGTGGCCAAATGTGATGCTCAATTTCATTAAAGTGTTCTTCGTGCAATTTTTCAACTTCAGCTGTATGGATTGGGGCCATTATCATCTTGAAAGATGGCATTCCACTCCGGAAACAGTTCTTGAACAATTGGATGAACTTGGTCCTCCAAAATTACAAAATAGTCGCAGCTGGTAATTCTTCCACGAAGAGAAATAATTGGTTCGCCGTATTTCCAAGAAATAACTCCTCAGATCATCACAGATCCGCCGCCATGTTTTACGGTTGGGAGGAGACAGTTGAGATTAAATGACTCTTTTGGCTGTCTCTAAACGTAAACTCGGATAGAGGTTGGAAGTAAGGTAAACGATGATTTGTCAGGGAAAATCACATTTTTCCACCACCCGAGAGACTAAGTCTGGAGGTTTTTATCCACTCTCGCTTTGAAGCATTTGCATTTGGAATCAAAAGCTTCTTCATTATTATGTAGAAACTATGATGACTCGATGGAAAATCTTCCAAGTGGAACTTTCCAGGAAACTCAAGCATACTCTGGGACGGTGTAAACGATTTAAAAACATCACAGATTTTGAGAGAATTCTAATAGCAGCTCTTCCATAGAATCCAGATCTGTGCTCCTCTCTGCTGACAGTCTTTATAGAAACTGGGATTAGTAGGTTTCCATTGAGGTTTGCAGTAATTTTAAGAGCCGAGGTCTTTTGATTGTAATTCACAAGTCGATTTAGGTACCGACGGTCTCTTCTAGACAACTTCGACGGCCAGACCTGTGCTTTGCTGAGGACGTTTTTTCTCTTTCAAACGCGGTCATTACTTTTGAGACGGTACCTCTATAAACGTCAAGCATTAGGGAAGTTTCTGTCACACTAGCACCTGCCATACGGGCACCAACAATTTGGACTGTTTGAAAGTCAGAGAGATTTGCCATTTATGTTATATGTTAGGTTATAAACCCAATAATGTTCTAAAAGCCGCAATGTAAGGTTATAATAGCAATTATTAGCAACACTAAAACATAAAAATGTCACGTTTTCATTGTTTATAACATGTTAAAAAATTACGATATCAAAATGTCAGGCGTTTCCATTATTTTGTCCAACCTCTGTATATATGAGCTGAATGTTTCAAGAGAATGTATGCGGGTAAGAGATGTGTTCATGCGTGCAAGAATGTCTGCAATTTCTGATCTAGCCGAACGCCACCAAAGAATGTGTCAGTGTAATAACTTCAATTGCGATGAACCTGGTATTTTCACTATTCTCTATGGTTACAAACGCATTCCAAATCTTATCATGCTCATAAATTTAAAAACTTTGTTTTGGGAAAATTTTTAGAATTGCAGGATCGACTTAGTGAACACAGGTGTACAATTTAATCGATGTACGAGTCTACGATGAATGCTTTTCCCTTCTACTTTTAAGATTAATTTATTAATTTTACGTCTTGACACATTTTTGGTAGACTCATTCTTCGCGCTTCTCTTTCTCACCTAGATTTTTCCCCTCTTAATTTGTATTTACCGTGGTTTTCAATATCTCTAGGAATAAATTATTCTTTTTTTGTCTATGTATGATATTCTTGGCCTTGAGATGGCATTCCCCATGTCATGTCGGCCTTATCGAGGGCGGGGCTTGTGAGTCAGAGATGATATTCGAGGAGTGCATTTTTACATTCTGTCGTGGCCCTGTGACTGAATTGGGTGGGCATGGGCAATCTAGAGAGGAAAAACTGCTTATTCAAAAGCGACGAATATCTCCAACTGACAACCATAGATCTTTCCTCTGATCGAGGTACTAGGTATGGCATGCCGTTAAACTCGATCTAACAGTTTTAATTATCAAAAATCTTGAAAATTCTTGACTGTGTTTGAGGTACCTGAAGCTAAGCACTTGGCGTCTTCCTTACGGGGGCCTGCACATGCTCATCATGACAGAAAGTGTTGATTAATTGTCCTGGCTTGCCTTGGCAATATGTACTCGCTCCGTCTTGGAAGGCATCTGGCTACCGCCGCATTGCTCTGATTATCTGCGAAATTTCACTGCTCCTGATAGTTTACAGCAGTGGTGGTTAAACTGGAACACGAGAGCTTTTCAGGTAGCACTCCAACACGGACACGGTACCATGAACGAATTTAATTAGCTATTTTTTACTACACAAAAATGTCTACTGCCCAACTAAAATAAAATGACCACGATTTGCAACTGTTGCTACACGCCGCCCATCTTGTCTCAGCGGTCCATCGATTAATTTAAGCATTGCTCATTTGACGCGCGAGTATTAATTCATTATTTATGATATTATGCTAATAATAGCACATATTAGAGATACGCGGCAACTGTACGGCACCTTTCAGTGGCACTTGATCACAACCACTTGTGGAAATAGTGGCTTAGATGTTCCACCTTGCCACTTGTACTGCAAAACCATGGGTGCCGAGTTGAATCGAAGATAAACGCAATCATTCTTCGTACAAAACGAGTGTTTCACCACCTGCAGACATGAAATTCAGAAGAACATTATTCACACGTCCAACATTTGAGAAAGTGTTGTTCCATCCAGAGAAGAGCTTACGTTGTAACGGATAGCCCGCCTCAACCAACTAGTCTTCTCCCAATTTTGTTCAGCGTTGTGATCAAGCCGATGACGACATCAACTAATTTCTCATCACCACGTGGTCTTCTGAAGATTCCGGAAAGCACTGGCAGCGTCAGGGATCCAATGGAAAGGGTTTGACCCTTAAGATATCTGCGTGGCGGATCTCCATCAAAACTTGCTATTCCTGGCCGCCATAACCGACCTTATGGCTGAAATTCACTGCGGTGAAACGGCTCTACCCGGTCTGATCTAAAATTCCACCATGATCGGAGCTGTATTAGAATTAAGAAGTGAAGGAAGTTAAGGAACTAACGTCTGAATGATAATGAGGGAGCCTGGAACTCGTCATACCATCGATTTCAACACGCGGAACTGGCGCTGTGTAAACAAGAGGATTAATCGGCACCGTTTTTTGATGGAGTGTCATCATATTCCGTACTGTTATTAGTGCCGGACTATGACAATACTGCCCCTCATGACAGAGCGCGCCAGCTGCTACCATGCCCTTAGAAAATTCTTCAACACCTAGATTGAACCGAGACTGAATATTGCCTTAGAAATAGTGGCATAGTTTCAAAAATAAGAGTCTACACAAGAAATCGGATGATGGCTTGGCGCATTTATGTATGGAAACTCGGTTTGATGCAGATCACACTTCGCTCTAGGTCACAACAGATGAACAGAATACTGTCTCTTCTTCCTGAAATGGGGCGTTTCGAATTTTTCTTTCTTTCTACGTAAACTGGTCGTATTTATATCATTTCTTTATTGTGTGAAGCTCTGACTTCTATCCACGGTGACTTATTACCCTTTTTGTCAACAATATTTTGGGTGTATTTCTGCGACGCTGAGGTATTGTTAATGAAATAATTTAATGTCCTGTGTTCAGATTGGTCGCGATGGGAAGATGGAGGTGTACTTCAACGTCCCCTCCACTAAATGCGGCCTTGTGATCGGCAAAGGTGGTGAGACAATCCGTCAAATTAATCAGGAGTCCAACGCGCACTGTGAACTGGACCGTCGGCCGCCCCATAACCCCATGGAGAAAACCTTCATCATAAGAGGAATGCCCGAGCACATCGAAGTCGCCAAGAGGATGATCTGTGAGAAAGCTGGCATGGTAGGTGCTCGTGTGTTTTTAAACTTCAACTTTAACTTTAAAAAAGTTTTTTTTAAAGCTGCCGATGTTTGTCATGAAGATTTTAAGAAAGTTTTTACTTGGTTCAAGTAACTAAATGAAGCTCACATGTAACTTAGTTTTACTGATAAATGAAGTTTTTGATTGTGATAAACTCCAATGTTGAAAGAAAAAGGAAGAGCATAGTACTGGAAAAGCCTACGTCCTCTTTGTCTGTAAGCGCTTTCTTAAGATTTTTTTTTTTTTGTGTGTTAATGCAACTATTTTTAAGCGATGTATTTTACTAGCTTTTGCTACCTTCCTAGATCAAAGAATAGAAATAGAATGAATTGAGGAGCGATTTCTTTACACTTTTGATCATCGGGTTCATGAATCACCTTCATGATTTCTGTGGAATAAAATACATTTTTGCAGTATTATCAAATTTAATAATGGATTAGCATTACATAAAGTTATGGTTGCAGGATCCAAGTCAAGCGATGGGACCTGGTGGCCCAGGTGGTCCCCCTGGAGGTCCTGGTGGTCCAGGAGGTCCTGGACCTGGCGGGCCTGGCAACTTTGGAGCTCCTCAGGGCTGGGGCAACGCCTACCAACAGTGGAACCAGGGACCTCCCAACGACCCAAGTAAGACTGGCGCCATTGCCATTCAGCCTTGTATTCATATGTTATGTGGCCCTCACAGCTGTTATGATTATGGCGATTGAGAAGATTATTCGAAAATTGTATGTAATTTAACATTCATCACGTGAGATCAAAGATGTACAACCTGCAGTATATGTATCTTCAATACTCTTCATCATTGCATACGTACATGGCTTGACGGTTACATGCATTACCCAGGCATCGCCTCTGACTGCACATACCCCGACACATTGTTTGTTCATAGTTATGCCGTCAATAGCAGTCATTTCTTCCTTTCCAGGCAAGCAGAACGCAGACGCCAACGCTGCTGCTTGGGCTGCATATTATCAGTACTTCGGTGGGGCTGGTGGCCAAAACCAGCCTCCCGCACAACCTCCCAACCAACCTCAGCCTCCACCACAGCAGCCTCAGCCACCCCAGCCTCAGCCTGCTGCCGCTCAGCCTGGTCAGTCAACTTAAATTATGAATAATTTGAGTTAGAATTGGTTAGAGAGTTTAAACACAATCGCTTGTCTCGGCGGTCTATAGCACATGAACTTTAAAAAAGAAACCTTGAACGCTCATTATACAGCGTTACAAAATATTGCTAGAACCTTTAAATTGAACTATTGTTATTTAGGACATATTACAGTAATGTGAAATCGAAAATGCAACCAGCAGCTGTCTTCTCTTCACCTAAGTTATTATTATGATGAATTTGTCACCGAATAGAGCAGCAGATGTGTGAAGTAACTATTTTGTGTGTGACTATACACACTGTATGTTAAGATCATTCTTAACTTTTATGTTAATCTGTATTGCACATTAGATCGAGATATAAAATCTCTGCCTAATCTAATAAAAGCTCTGCCTTATTTCACTTGATAGTTGAAGGAGAGTAGCTATCCAAAATCGAAACGTTTTGAATCATAAGCAGTGATTACTTACCTACTCTCCTTTTGGTGAAAATTCCAAAGTGTTTAATTTCAGTTCATTGCATGTCTAATGTAGTCAGTTAATAATGCTATCTTAAATTTCAAGTATTCGCTGGTTATTTTGTGTCTGTTTTAATATTAAATTGGGTAGGATTTTCAAAGAAACATATAATTTGAAGTCTGCTTTTTCCCACATTAAACTCCTGTCTGTTATTGTATAACTGAATGACATGCTTGTTCAGGAGGCCAAGCAGACTACTCAGCGGAGTGGGTCGAGTACTACCGCAGCATGGGCAAGCTGAGGGAGGCAGAGGCTATCGAGCAACAAGCCATGTCTTTGAAGCAGCAGCAACAGCAGGCCGCCCCTGCTCCGGTACCTCAGCAGCCACAGCCTGTAAGCTCTCGTTCAATTCCGCGGTCCACTGTCCTGCTTTTGTGACCATATCTCAGTTCTCACAAAATAAGCGTCTCGGTAGAGCCTCCAATACGAACACTCGTTAGGCAAAACCTAATGCCAGTTGGCTTAAATTCATGTGATATTAGTAATTCAGCAACTTACCAAGCACAATTTTCATCCTCAATGCTCCACTTCCCTTGCCATCCCATCGCACTCTGTTGAAGTGTAGCATTACATAAAACACGTATTTATTGTGGTTCATGTGAGCAGGCGGGTGGCGTGCAGCAAGACTACTCGCAGCAGTGGATCGATTACTACAGGTCTCAAGGCATGCATGCCGAGGCGGATAAATTTGAAGCTCAGCTCAAGTCTCAGAAGGTTCGTACCGGTTTTTTATGTCTTTCTTTTCACGTGTATTCTTCAACTCTGCTCACTCTACCTTGCTGCGAGGATGACTCAGTTGACGCTTGTGTTGCTGTCTCAATCATCTGCTTTGTTGGTATTTTCTTCTTCTGAGCTTTGAAGCGTGGGCGTAGTTGCCGTAGTAAGCTACTGCCATGTATTCGCTCAGAATTTGGTTTCAGGTCCATGAAATTGTTACGTCTTGTGTTGACCAAGTTCTGCGTCAACCTCAAACTTGTCATCTCGTGCTTTTTTCAATCATTACAAATTTCTTCCATACGCCGTATATTTTTATTATGCAGTTATTGATGAAATTGTTCGTGGCAACGTTACAATTGTTTTCAATAATTTTACTACTCCTAGTCCAGCTGATTTGAATTCGATTGATATCGGAATTAATTTTCTTCGTAAGCACTGGAAAAAGTTCAGGTTTTCTTTTCACGGTGAGTAAACTGGTATTATCGCACATATTCGCTTTGCAAGTTCTCAGTAAAATCTTACCTCGTTCAAAAAGGTCCTAAGTTGAATGTATGATACTCGACGTATCACCATTTGACACTGCAACTTCATACGTTTTCTGAACACCTCTTAACTTTGAATCCATGATGAAGAGAATAAACGTTATAGAGATGTTTATTTGCCGCCGCGATTCAAGTTAAAATCGGTATACCACCAAACTTGCCCGTCGTTTAGATAATTTAGTCAACTTTCGCTTTTATTTCTTCTTTTGCGACGAACTTGATGCTGAACTGCTAACGACCAAACTTTATGGTAAAGGATTCAGTTATCATTGAAATGTATCCCAAGCGTTCAATCAATAACATAAGTGGAACGTCCGCGCGTAATTACTTGATGCATGCGCGTATCAGTACTGAATCTGTACTGAATTTCTTTTATGTAAAGTAAGCATCCATTGCGGCACTGAATGCAAGTGGTCTATTTGAGTAAGGTACAGATTTGAGCATGCATTGTCTTGGTGTTTTGGTGCTACGTTTTCTTCTTCATGCAAGCCACTTGTCTGCAGGTAGAAGCAAGAGATGCTGTATCTCATAGCTAACCGTAAGTGGGGATTACCTGCTAGAAAAACTCGTTTGACTTGAGCCTTCCCCAACCTTTATGGTACCGACTTCCCTTGTACTTTTTGTCGTCAATTTATTGTTCACAAGACTTCTAAGTATTTTAAAGTAAATGTTGTTGCGCAGCGAACTTGAAACCTTCTACTAATCAAGTACTCATGCTTTCAATGCAAAATTTTTGTCAATAATGAATTAATTGTTAATATCATTCGTTTTTTATTGAAATTGCAAAATCTTTAGATTAATCTTCTCTCATTTGAAATAGTGCACTTTTCATCCTAAATTATTTTATGTTCATTCAATCGAATGAACTTAAGACTAGAATCCTATACAAGTTTTGAAGTCATACATGACCTTAAAAAGAGGTACAAGTATAGTTGGATAATTAAATTGTTTGATTTAATTTAGTGGAACCTAATTGGTCATTTCTCCAACATGTTATCTTTTAACCGAACTGAAAAGTATCAAGTAGCCTAGTCGATAGATAACGAAAGAATTTTTTTTGCTAATCCATCAAAGGGCTCGGGGATCGTTGAAGTTTGAACTATTGAGGAACACTCTACTCATGTCCTATAACTTGAGCATTAACGAAGCTCCCGGCAAGTAAAGAACATATAGACAGAATTTTTTTTTAAGACGAATGCACGTATTTTGGGGTTGACAAATCCGAAGCTTTTTTAACGAGTGATATCAAGTGTAGATGAAAGGGTCTGAGAACGTTGGCGACACATGCTTTGTAGGAGTCAAAAAGCGAACGAGACGTTGACGGTCAGTACTACTATAACGGCAGGCCGGTGGAGGGGCTCCTCCAGCAGTGCCAGCTGCCATGGCTGCCCCCCAGGGGGCACCTACTGCCAACGGTGCGGCCGCTGCTCCCCCAGGTGGCCAGGACTACTCGCAACAATGGATACAGTATTTCAGGTCTCAAGGATTGCATTCCGAAGCCGATAAAATCGAGGCCCAGATGAAGGCTGGCAAGGTGAGTTCTCTTCTCCATCCTCCCACACTCCTTTCCCAACTATTGCTCATCTCGTTTTAAAGTTTTATTTTGGTGCTTGACTGCTGCTGCTACTGGTGCTCGATCTTTTGCTTCTCGCGCGTCTCGTAACAATAGTTCTGTGCGATGGTTGAGGTGTGTCATCTTCCGTCTCAGCGGTAATTCCGTGGTGAGTTAATTTGAGTTTTTTTTTTGCTCGTAAAATTACGGGCTTATATTTTTGTTGTATTCATAACCCGCATTTTGTTTTCTAACCTGCTAGGGAATTAGAGAAAAGTAATTGTATATTATAGCTGCTAGGGATGGTTCTTATTTTAAAAGCTTCTTCATTCACTTGGAGTGCTAACAAATTTCCCTCTACATTGACGTTAATATTATGTACACCATCTTATTTCTATGTCTAACGTATCTTCAAGAAGAAATGACACTCCGTAGGAATTATTCTGTATGGATGGATATCTGTCCAGTTGGTTTTTATTTAAAAGTCAACTAAATTTGTATCTATTTTGCCTTTTTGTTTTTGAAGTGTCACTACATACACAACGACAGAAACTGAAGTGTCGCTACATACACATCGACAGAAACTTTTGTTGCTGAAGTGTCACTACATACACATCGACAGAAACTTTTGTTGTTGAAGTGTCACTACATACACATCGACAGAAACTTTTGTTGTTGAAGTGTCACTACATACACATAGACAGAAACTTTTGTTGTTGAAGTGTCACTACATACACATAGACAGAAACTAACCAGTTACAAGTGTTGTGCAGCAACCATACGGACTGTACAGTGAGCGAATTTTGCAATAAATTTCGCTTTGTAAGAATACCCAGTTTTTGCCGTGTTGTTTTGTTACTATAACTCTTGATGTCTTCCATATTTTATTGTTTTGTCTTGTAATATTTTCCTAAATAACTTTGTGCGTCTTTCAATAAGCTATTTAGAACGTGAGCTATATTCTGTTTTAATTTTTATTTTTTCATGACAATGAAAATTGAACTTTTTTCTAGCAATGTTTACTTTTGTATGATTCCGATGATTATGTATGCAAAGAATTGGTTCAAGGTATGAGCACTAATTTCTTAGCAATTGTTTATAGCAACACATGATCCATAGAAAGTCTGATGCGTACGGAAAGCATCAAAATCTAGGATCACGAAATGATACGTTTCAGCAATAGGTTAGTTATGTTACTACGGGTCCAAATTCATTTTACTTTATGGTGATGTAATGGATCATTATTAAGAATGATGTCAGAAAAAAGTGCTTTTCTTACATCATGCATGTTGGTCGTACGTGTGTGACGCGGTGCTAAAATATCTTGTATTGCACAGCGTTTTCCGCGGTGCATTCAAGTAACGCACGTTGCTGTTAATCTATTTTTTTATCTAGATTTTGTAACATTGCTCCCTGTTCCGACGACTAGTGGCTCATAGACTGCCTGCAATTTGATTCTTCTCTTATCCAAGAGCTTTATTCTCTTATAATTTTATTCTCTTATAATTTTTGAGACTTGACAGAAATCAATAATATACCTTGGAACTGTTTGCGAATGAATGTCAAAAGATGAAGTGTCTCATGGAGGTTAAATACACAGGTTATCATAGCGCGCAACTCGCGGCAGTTGGTTAGTTATGTTATTGTAATAACTAGGCTTTCAGATGCCTTGTCACATCTTGCGAAGATATCTTCCTGTTGACTGGAGGTCGCGATACGATAATCCCGCTAGTCTATAGAAAATTGAAATATACCGTCTCGGTTTCACGTCATTCTTTGAAGTCTTCCAGAACCTCCTAGTGTCGCCTATTATTAATCAAGTGTTGTGATGAATTGTTTCTCTAGAATTAGAAAAATCCAGCACCACTCGCTACACACAACCCTAGGACTATTAGAATAACTTCGCCAATACTTGACCTTGTAAACCATGTGCGTGCGTCTTGATTCTGTTTCGCCATTTTTCAAATAAGTTTCTCAGTTGAATTGCAATTTGTGCCGGAAATATTACATTTTTGTTATTGTTTTCTTTCGTTCAAGTCTTAATTTTGTTGCAGCCTCAACCTCCCACCGGTGGAGCCCCTGCTGGAGCTCCCGTGTATGGGGGTCAGTACAACCCTGGCGGATATTAAAGCACCTCTCAGGTATGTTGCCTTCCCTCTATCCACCCTCCTCCTCCTTTCTGTCTTCTGTTCCATGGACCTGAATTATTATTATTATTGCCGCTATCGTCTACATGACTATTACTATAATTATGGATCCCTCGCATATGGATTCCTTGTTTGTGCCATTTTACTGTTGAGTTGATGACTCAACGCGTTGTCTTTTCTCACGTGCGTTCGTTGTATTTCTTTCTTGATGACTTGCGATGTAATGGAATTATTCATGTCGATGTTTAGCCTAAAGCGACTTGTTTTCTAGATTTAATGTCATGATTACTTCTGTTCTTATGATGAACGACTGCGCCCACGCGCTGCATATCAGTGTGCTCTTAATCCTATGAATGTCTTCCTAGATATTTCTCATAAACAATTGCGATGTTTTTCCATATATTATCTTGTAATTATTTGAACCTCTTGTCTGAAATGTCACTGATGTTCTAGCATTATTCCTCGACTTATGACTCACTTGTGTGCCGTTATACCAAATGCCTTAACACTATTGTCAGCTAAATTTATCCTTGATGCGACTTGAACAGGATTGAACTCTCATGTCTTCGATGTAAGTGCCATTGGTCCTCTTTGTATTTATCTGCGCGGCGGCCTCATATATTCCCATTGGTTATTTATGATTCTTAGTAATTTTATGGGATCATCTCCACCAATTTTTTCGACTTGATGCCCAACTTTATGACCAGCGATTATATTGTGCGGTTTTGGTATCATTTTGCTATTTTTCGTGATTCTAATTCAGGTTCATCATGTTCAGGTTTTTCTCCCTTTCCTTTATTCTTTTCGTGCTTGTTACGTGTACATATTCATAAGTATGAAATAAGATGAATTATAATGTGCCAATATACTGTCATGACATACGAGAACGAGGGAAGAGAGAGGACGGTCGACAGGTTTGTTTTGGAGCTTCGGTGATCTGACCAACCGTTTCCGATGAGGCGCTCTGAGCTTCCTGAGGCGGTCTCGTACGGGCGTGGTAAGCTAAAGATCGTCCCTCTTGTACCTCGCTCTCAATAGCCTTATTGATATATTCAAGTACAATTAACTTTCTTTTACAGCTTTCCTCACGGCATTAAGAGAACATATGTGCGTCTGTCTTTTTTCAGAACCTTTTGTTGCCTTCAAGCCCACGTGATGTTGGTTTAGCGAGTCAAAGTGTCAATGTTGCCTAGTTATCTATAACTATGGGAGCGTCCATGCAAAATCTTCGACCATGTGTACCATAAGTTTGCGTACCTACCTACAAATCATTTATGAAGAGTGTCACATCTATGTCACGTGTATGATTGAGTGAGAGCTATAGCAGGACTTCAGCGACTACGTGCAGAGTGTGACGAAGGAACCGCATCAACATGGATCATGTTTTTCGAGCTGAAATAAGAGTGTATCTTGTATTTGAGAGCCCCTGGGCTGCTCTGTATCTCTTAAGCTCTAAGACAGCATGGCTCGCTGAACCTTTGCGTTGACTAGAGGCGCGCGTCTTGTAAATAGCATAGGTCTAATAGATAAAGCCTAGGTTTTGCGATGGTGTACGGCTTTGGCCTTAAGTGCTCTCAGACCTCTCTCCTCAATTACGTGATATTGTTCGTATTTATCCGCCCCTTAGGGCAAATGCCGGAATTTTAATTCGTGATATTCATATCATTGTTTATTAATGACGACGGCTCTTCTCTGTTCCTTCTTTGCAAATTATTTTTTTCGTACTATAATTGATAGACTGCTCTTTTGTGACTTGTATATTCTTTCATTGATGTACATTTCGATGCATAATCATCGCCCTCCCCTTTTTCAGGCGTTTCTTGTTTGATCATTAATTTGTTGCCATACGACGCTACGGCTAAATGCTTTTGGTGTGTTCTTCTTTACCACTTACCGTGCAGTAAATGTTGCCCACAGCTTATTTTATACTCATGCAGGTTTTCCGGTCACAGTAAGTTACGCATTCATTATCGACTATACAATATTAGCGCACTTGTCTTGTCCACTCTCTCAAGTATGTTGATGGCAACTCTTTATTTTATAATTAATAATTTGGCTATTCTCCAAATATTTGAATATTGCTAGAATGTCGGCTGACGGTGAATCTCTTTTTATTTTCTTATTTTTTGGCTTAGTTTGCCATTGAAAACCATCACCTCTCTTTAACACGTTCACACCTTGATGATGTTTCGATGACACTTTTATCATTACAATATCTCGCCAGGCTCGTTTCAGACCCGAGGTAAGCTATTATTAAATTTCAAACATGACTAATTTCCTTTAGTGGTGATGAATTCGGTAAATTTGAATTAGTTGTTCTATCAAGCGGTATTGCTTGAGAGCAAAATTTACTACTGTGTGAGCCTTTGAAATCGGTGTTTCATTTATTGGTGTTGTTTATTATCTGAAATCGGTTCTATGCAATTATTCGTCATTGATGCTTACCTATTACCCTGAATTTTCAACGTATTTGACCTCAACTGAACATGTTTATTTGGCCTCGCCCGTGGTTAGGTATGCCTACATGCATGCCCGATCATTCTCTTACTCTAGGCACACCTTCGACCGGAGCAGACGCCGCTACTAATATGGCACACTTACATGCAGGCACTCGTAACCCTGATTTGTTGTCTAATGAAATAATATGCGTAGCCACATCAATGCATATGCCGTTATTCTTCTTCTTGGTGCTCTCGTTCTATGTTGTGAGGAGACAGATTTTAAGAGCCTGTGTGACACGAGTGACTGCAGTCAACCCCATCGCTGGGCTTCCTAAGCAGCGCTGCTTTTGCAACAGGTAAATTTAATTGATTAAATGCTTATTTCATCAACGACCAATGCTGGATTTTTCTTGAAAAATTCTATCCTAATGATTGCTTGGCTATTCATTGACATGTACGAATGACTTTTTTTTTCAATCGTGTATTTATTTCGCATTGTATACTCTGAATTAACCCGAAAGTTCCCTGGACAGCAACTATTTACTATCGTCGTTATTTCTCTGTAGGTCTTTTGCTTGCGTCATTTTATTGCATCGATATTACTGCAGGAGTTCATCACGGACATTTTGTGCACTTCTTCCTCAATTTCGTGATTTTCATTCTATGAATAATTTTTTTTAGAATTATATGATCGTTTTCGGGGCTTTAACCGAAGATCGCTGCCACCGACAATGGGTTTCGCCTGCAATGATTTTCTGAATTTCTTAGTGTCATGTAATTCTTGTGAGATTTTTTCGTTGTTCATTGAAAATTTAATGGAAAGAGGAGGAGAGAGAGGTCTGTTGCATTCTGCCTAGCCTTAAATGCTGTCGCGCGCTATGATCTTCGAAAACTTTGTCTGTTTCATGTCATTTTTAGACCTAATGTGCTGTACTTCACCGTAACAGAGGATTAAGAGGGATTTCTCTAGCTTTAGCAGTAATTAATTCTGTGTTATAATGTTGTTGAAGGATCAACATTTGAGGAGTTATGCTATTTTGCGTTGGTGGCTTAGAAATACGTGCTACCGAACTTTTTTTCCGCTGCCAATATACGTGTTGATTATAATATTGGTAGGCCTCTTGAATGTTCATTTGAAGCGTAGATCATGATTTGATAACAATAAACATATGTACAACACTTTAGTGTCATTGTCCTTTCCGACCAGACGTGCTTTGTAAATGGAAAGTTGCCTTTCAAAAGGTAACTTTATGCTGTAGGTATTTAACTTGTTATTCGCGTCGGTCTGTACAACTGAAGCTTTTAGCTATATTTTAATGAAGCTACCCGGCCTAAAGCTTTTGTCATGCGTTTGTAAACTTAGTGCGATGAACGCAATTTTATTAGTCTGCCACCCGAGTCGACAATTTTTACGTGGCAATTTTTCTCAATATATCCAAACATCAGACATATAGATCATAACATATCCTAAACATATCAATTTAGACGCGGGTAGTTTTTGGTGTGAAATGAACACAATTTAAGCTTGTCTCGTAATGCCTGGTGTGTTGAACGGTCGAGAGTAAATCGTACTAGTTGGAAAATAGTGCCCCAGTAGCCAGCCCAGTGCATTGCTAATGTGCACAACACTTCTCCGTAGTTATGTCTGATGCACATTGATGTCCGATGCACACTACGCGATGCACATGTGGCAAATTGATTTCATTGCTAATAAAACTTATTTTATCTACGATTGTAGTTTCGGCGAATTTGTTAGTGAAAAATAAGTTGAATCAAGTAGAAGCCTATCCAGTCTTGAATGCTCTATGATGGTTGAGATGCACTAGCAGTATGTGACGGTGCATTCCCTGCATCGCTTCCGTACGAGCTGCTGGAGGATTGCTTGGCAGAATATTTCATCGTTCCATGGAATTTGCCATTGAGATTGTAAATTCTATTGCGCGATTTAGAAAATATTTGCCTGCGATGGTTTATGAGATATAGTTCTAAACTAGTCCTAAAACTTGGAGACTAACCGGCTTCTTTGAGATGCCGAGATCGTTCTCAAGGAAAGAGTGAGGTTTCTTTAACATGAGCATGCGAATTGCAATAGGCGAGTGAGCGTTGAAAAAAATTATTTCAGATGTAGAGTTTACTAGCTTCATTTTACTAATGCCCGAAATCGTCGAAAGTGTACCTGAATTAAATTCAACTTTGGCGAGTTACGTTTACTGAACATAATTCTCACCAGTTTCTTTTAATACTTTATATTTTGCCTAGGACGGTGTTTCGATAGAAGGTAATGTGTTACCACAAATCGAAGACTAGGAAGGCGGTCCCAGAAAAGACATGTCGGTAATGATTTTGAGGTGAGCTTGGCATTCGCTGATCATAGCGACCTGTCGGATAAACGATGTCGAAGACGTAACAAAACGAAAGCTTTTTTGTCTAATTGAAGCTGATAAAAAATTAGTTTTCTATTAAGGCTTATGATGTACTCGACCTGTTTTGTATTTTACTGATAATAATTAGCCATTCAGGGAATACCAACCAACATTTTGAATAGTGTAGGTTTGTAATCCCGACGAATAGTGGCTTTATCTACGCTACTTGCGGTCGATTATAAGGTTTTTACGAAAGAAATAGTGACGTAATTGAACGAAAACGGCTTTTTGTATTTTAGTCGTATCTCAATAATTACGGCGATGGTGCGTGTTCTGGGTGCCAACATAGAATTATGTTCACTAAACGTTAAATTAAGTGACTAATTTTTGTATAGTGCGACTTGGTTCCAACATTAATACTTGACATGCCTAATTCATAAAGACCGTTCAACGGCTACAAATATTGCCGAAATTGTCGCCGTGACTCCTAGATCGTACGTGCCTGAGGCTGCGGCGGTAGAAAGGGCGCCAAAAAGTTAGGATTAGCATACTAAAGGAAGCCCGCCTCAATGTGCTGCACGATTCCTTCCTTTCATCATTCAATGGCTGGGATGGAGAGATATGACTGGAATAATTTAGTTTAATTTTTTGCCAATTAGCACCTTACACTCGAGGTGTTCCCAGAGAATTATGCCATAGAATTCAGGACGGTTTCAGTTGCCTCCAGCGACAAGTTGGATGCGTTCTTGCTTCATATTACGCCTGGGAGTGTGAGTAATTGGTTTTGTAGTCAGATGCATAATTTTGAAATCAATATCATTTCAATGAGACAACTAATATACTCACTCAAATCACAAATAATTTATTAAATAATACGACTCGTCCCTAAATTAAATCAGCTCCTTCCTCCGCAAATACCTATACGTAAACTGATATAATAAATATTTAGATTTATTATTATATCAGTAAACTCGCAAAGACCATTGTTGATGAGTTAGGCAGCATTCTAATTTCTGCACGGAGTTGCCGAAACGACGTTCCTGGGAAACTATAAGTAATTGAATCTAATAATGAATCGTGTACCCAGAAATTTGAACCGATTCATTTTGATTCTACAGCCTCCTACTCGAAGAATCAATATTGAATTTCATTCTTTCAAGTATTTCAGGGGAATACGTTACAAAACGGAGGCTATTTTGACGGCTGCACGAGGTTAAAATGAAACCACATGAATAAGCCGCTTATTTGAAGCTATTCCATTAAAATTTTTTCAAAACGTTAGTTTAATGAACCAAGTTTAACGCTTTGTGCCATACAACATTTTGGCCTGGTAAACGACTGTTTGTTAATAGCTTCTGAGTCGGTTTTATACTATGAGCATGGTCATAAGACCAGTTTTTAGGCTTCTTGAGAACGAACCATGAACATTACAAGAATCACGGTAAGTCTTCATTTCAACATTGACACAAATATACTATGCTTCAATATACCTGTGAAAGGCAACCGCACATAGCGTAATTGAGGTGTACAATAAAGTAAAAAGCAGATAATAAAAATGTTTACTAGTGCTACGAAATCAGAGCGTAAAAAGCTGCTTATTAAGGACAATAAACTACGATTCATCATATTTGTCAAAATTTACGCAGATCCATGCACAATAAAATTAATTATTCGCAAAACTAATCCCAAGTGGTTATATAATTGAGCGAAATAAGAACCACTCCAAGGTGGCTTTGATAGCAGGCCAAGTATAGCGGCGTTACATCAACACGTCTGCCTCTCTACTCTCCCGAGAGAGCAAACTGACCTCATCTGCAATCAAGGAGCCGTCCGGCCTTTGATTGCGCCTATTGTGTAGCTTGGACGATGCTTTCAGAGGCGCCGCTTCCCTCACTTCCGTTCATGAGTGGTCATGCCAGGCTAGCAAGTATCACTCTCGCTTTACTACAGAAAATCAGGGCATTTTGCTTCGAAGGTCGTTCATTTTTAACGTTTTTAAGGTTTTATAGTAAACGTTTTGATAATTTATCGACTTTAGTATGCCATTATAGTGTAGAACATGCGAGCGTTCGATTATTAGAAATGTTGCATTTGTCAGCTATCTAAAGGCTTTGAGCCTTACGTTGATGGTTAATTTCCACCCATTTTTTCCTCGACAAGAAGTACTTTATTGAATTGCTTACTTAAGAGTCAATCAGCCTTGCAGATTCGAAGCTAGAGATGAATGTAGATAGCCTTTGATGAACTCTATTTAAAATATCGGCAATTACTACAACAGGGGATTTCGTCTTGTTTCTTCGCATCACCCTTACAGAGGCAAGCTCATTACCGAAGACTAATGAGACTTGATTTAAGAAGTTTGGTTTGGCAGTTATTTGCATCGAAATCATGATACTTGATTTGTCAAGTAAACTTGGCTGGAAATATATATGTTGCTTACAGTGGAAGGCCTTTGACCTGTTGACAAGTGGGTAATGGAATCTTGGCAGTCCATCTGACATGTACACGGAGACCGTAGAACTTGATTGGCTGGCGAACTGAGATTGCTTACTTGGCATCGTGTGTTTGCCTGATTGTGATACAATCAACATTGATTAAAAACCTAGAATCAGTGGTTCATCTGTTAAACGACAGTATATCATCATGCATACCTAATAATAATTTCTCTCCTTGAGAGTTATACCTGAAACAAATTTGCATACAAACAAAAACTTCCAATTTGACGTAAGTATTTTCTTCTAAGCATCAATTGATATTGGTAAACTTCCTTCAGGCTTGTATTTAAATTAAATTGGACAATAATTACCTTATTGATAACTCCATTATGTAAATTCAATCCGTTTTGAGTGCATTTCCTCCAGCATGTCACTTGAAACAAACTTCGTCCTAACATTTGCCGAGTCCTAAGTAATTAGAGCTGGGCGGGTAAGTGTTATATTCACAAATCATGAATATCGCTGATCGCCTGCATGGTGATATGTGCTATTGCTTTCAAATGTAGTTTAGCTGCATTTAAAGAATTTGGCGTGTGTACGTTAGAATTTGATTATTCTCCCTATATTATCTCTGCAGTTCTATAACAAAACTCAGAGATTAAAAAATTACATGTAATTTTATGTGACCTCGAAATCCAATTGTTCAAACAATCATGTGATGTTAAATTCCATGTTGTTATAGTTTTATTGTGAAAGAATTTACCTTTTCAGTCTCTAATTTCTGAATTTCTGAATTTCTGAATAAAAATGGTCAGCTCCTTCGTCACGCTCGAGTTTTAGGCAAAAGGGCAAGTTGGCCCCGATGCTAGAGTAAAAAAATGTGGTGCCTAACTGCAGAAGTCTAGTGATGATGCAGGAAATGATTTAGGAGATTTTGTGATGAAAAGATCAGAAGTATTAAAAAAGTTGAATGGATGTGCGAGGACGTTAATATAGAGAAGGTGGGGGGCAGTTTAAATAATGGGGACATCGAGAGTTTCAGCAACGAGGGACGAATTTTTGTTGAAACCGGGAAGAAATGCTGAGGTGGGGATTTCGAAAAATACTGGGCCGAGTGTGAAGATAATTTGGATAATTTGCGAGCGATTAAGAGTAAATAGCTAAGTGCGTCCTATAATGAACGAGGAAGTTAGGTAAAGGGCAAGACAGTAAGTTATTAGATGCAAAGAGTATGAGGCTATCAGAGATGAGAGGCAACCACAGAGAGGGGGCTGCAGGCCATCAGAGATGAGGGCTCGCAGGCTGGCTCATTACCTCCGTGTTAGCTCTCTTTGGCCAACGCTCTTTGGTCTAATTTATAGGCAAACACCGGCACGGGCTG